GACCACAAAGGGTTGTGGGCCCACGACTAGCTTACACCTGAACCATCGAGGGTCACACTGCTCGTGCACATGAGATCTTTGAATAAACGGTCAGAGATAAAAATGTTTTATCTTTGCAGGATTGTAAGTCAATATGATTGGGTCTAACATTCGTAATTTGGAATTATGAGTGAGAATAAGAAAAGGAAAAGAATAGGCGAGCATCTTAGTGAACTTTCTAAATCGGGAAGTTTCCAAATTTAGAAAGTTCACTGAATTAGGGTTTCCACTTTTAAAAAGTTGGAAATCGAGAGTTGGCACTCGTAATGACAAGGACATTATAATGATTCTGAAAATGTAATCGTTACAATTTTCCAATCATTTAATTGAGAGAAACGAGCGAATAAAGAACTAACGAACTTAAGCTGTTGGGCCCGGTCCAACTTAAGCCCGTTAGGGCTTTTATGGAAGACACTATAAATACTTGATTTATAGGTCTTGCACACATACACAACCCTAATACGAAACCCTAGCCGCTCTCATCTCTCTCTCGGCCGACCTCAAATCGCGGCCACCACCGCTGCCGCCGTCGCCAACTCGCCGGAATCGGCCACCCCTTGGCCGATCCTATTGGTAGTTCTTTTCTCTTTTCGTTTCTTCCGTTTTATTCTAACTATTTCGTGTCTAGTGCCACGTTTTAGTAGATCAAAGTATACGAGGTGAAATCCGAGAGGAGGGAGATCGAAGAATCGAGGAGCAGCCACCGAGCCAACGACGCACGCGCCTCCACGCGCCGCCCGAAGACAGCGCGTGAACCACACGCGCCGCCGTTGCTCACGCCGTAGCTGTCGCCGCTTCGCCGTCGCTGCCCCGGATTGCACGGATTGGTTTCCGTGGCAATCTTACTTCATTTCGTGCGCCTACCTCACGCTTCAAGAGGTAAAGTTTCGAATCCGTAGTTATTCGATATCGATTTAATTTAGATTAAATATGTATGTTCGTGTTGTAGTATATTGTATGAATTTGAATGTCTTACGTGATTATATGATATTCGTAATTTACTGCGAGCATGATTAATTGATTTAATGCGATCATGCTAGTTGATTTAATGTCGATTAAATAATTCGCATGTATGTTGTTTTTAATTTCGTTGGAAGCGCAAAATTGTTTACAATTATCAGGCATGTGATTATGTGTTTTAAATTCGTTTAATTCGCATAAAATTTTTGTTTTCCGTTGCGTACACGTGTCCGATTCCCAACAGTGGTATCAGAGTACAATGCACAGATCTCCCACTAGATTTAGGACAGCACGAACACTGGCCCTTGGGACGGTCCTCGGTGGAACTCAGGGACATGTCAAGATACAGCTGGTCCTCTAGTGAAGTCACGGTGATGTCTGGGTCTTAAGGATTAATGGTGTACAACTATATCATAGAAACCTCTACTCGATTATTGGGAACCACTTTAAGATCTCTAGATTGAGGGAGTTTAGTGAACTCATCAACTTATGAGCACCCACTTATGTATGCCGATGTCACAACGCCGTTGACTAATGAGAAGCAGTACACATACACTAAGTGCTAGTCCCGAATGGTAAAGGCCGATATCCTCATTAGTGGCGTAACCCCTTGACTAGGAACCACGTTTAACAGTTACTATACTTAAATAAATAATCTCACGATTCTACTAGATTTATTTATAGTAATTAAGTAACTGTAAGGACTATATCTATGCTTATGCAAGGGACAAAGATATAGAATTCCAAATGGGGTATTTATCATTAATACGAAATAGACTATTTACGAGTAGCGTGAGAAAACACAACAGTTAGTTGGCTCTTCGGTCACCTACTCTAATAATTTTGAGATTATTCTCGCTAGTTCTATAAGAACTCTTCAAACACATCACAGGATTTCGTGCGTTAATCACGACTTATCAATCAATCTTTCACAGTTGATTGTGGCATTTTCACATATCAAGGTTCTTATCTCTTTATAGGCAACGGGTCGCGGTTCCACCCCTTTGATTTCTTCTTTTGGACGATCCAGAAATAGATAATCGAAGTATTGTTATCGGGTCTCGTCACATGGTTGGCGTGGTTCATATTATTTGGTATTAGAGCAACTTCAATTTGAAGCCTTCATGAGCGCGAATAATCTCTTCCGAAAATGAAGAAATAATAATATATAGAATCAACTATATAGTATAACAAATCGAGTTAAATGTAAAAAAAAAAAAAAAAAAAAAAAAAACCCTTGTGTTAAGGGGACAACTAAATATAATAGCATTTTTTCTCACTTCAATATCACTAAAATAAAAATTAGATAATAAATAGGTAATGATATAAATACCCTTAATGAAAATCAATACCACGAAATAAAAAATCTCATTTCTCTTTCTTCAACACCAATTACACAAAAACCCTCAAAACCCTTTCCTTCCTTACAAAACCCTCAACTCCTTCCTCACAACAAATCCTCCGAAAAAATCTCAAAACCAAAGAAATCAAAACTTCACACAACTTGCAAAATAAAGTCAAATGACAACAAAATGGTAGTTTACGACCAAGGAGAACCCATTAAGGTATTTATCCATGTCTTACGTAAGCTTCGAAGTCGATTTGAAGTTTTTCTACTATACCCGTCCTCAATTTCCGACACATACAAGTCGAATTTTTTGGCAATTTTCGACACCATCTTGTGAGAAAAAAAAACGAATTTCGACACATACAAGTCGAAATTATGAGAAACTTCGACACGTATGCATAGAAAAATCACTGCTGAAAAAAATAGTTTTTTTTCCTTCTTTTTTTGTTTGAAGCACCAATGGTTTTTCGACACATACATGCCGAAATTTTGAGAAATTTCGACATACATTTATGTGTCAAAATTCATTTTTTTTTTATAAAAATTACGACAAGATGGTCTCGAAAATTGACAAAAAATCGACATCTATGTGTCCAAAATTGTCGACGGGGTTAAAAAAGGAAAACTTTAATCGACTTCCAAGTTCAAAAAGGACATGGATACATACTTTAATGGCTTCTCCTTCTATGTAAACTACCATTTTGTTGTCTTGTGACTCCATTTTATAAGTTTATTGAGATTTTGATTTTGAGATTTTTTGGAGGGTTTGTAAGAAGGTGAAGAAGAAGAGAGGGTTTAATGGGCTTGAGTTTGGGTTTGGTGGAGAAGAAGAGAGTTTTTTTCTTTCTTTCTTTTTGTTTTTTTTTTTTTTTTTTGTATTGAAATGAGAAAAAAAAATTGTTTGTACAAATTGTAATTGTTTGATGAGGGGCATTTTAGTACTTTGGAGCTGTCTTTATAGAGTTGTTTTTCATTCTTACTTCAATTTGGTTGAATAAGTTCTACTATATATTCGTGTTTCTGTTCATAGTGTTTTTTATTCTGCTGGTGACGTGTGCTGAGATCAGTATCGTATTGTGCTATTTCCAGCTTTGCAGTGAGGAGGATTATCTTTGGTGGTGCAGATTTTATCTCACTTCTGGTTCTTCAGCGGTGTATCTATTTCCGTACGCGACTTTTTACTTCTTTACGAAGCTGGATATTACGAAGCTGGATATTACAAAGCCTGTTTCGGGTGCGTTGTACTTTGGGTATATGCTGATTGCTTCGTATGCGTTCCTTGTGCTGACGGGTACGATTGGGTTCTACGCGTGCTTAATTTTCACAACGATGATTTATTCTTCGGTGAAGATCGATTGAGGTATATCTTTATTTTTTTTTTCGGTGAAGAGAATTGTTATTATTCATTATTCATATGGAAGTACGCGACGCGATGTATGATGTTTAATTAGAAATGGCCGTAACTAGGCATTAATTGTAATGTGGTCATGTTTTATTTTTCTTTTTTTCATTTATTATTATTTTTATTTCGTGTTGTCGAGGTTTTCTTGATTTTGTAGCAAGAATGTCGCAGAGCTTTTGTAAATTGCTCGAAAGTGTATCAAACAAAATCTTTCGAATACGAGTTGGACTTGAGACATGTTATCGCATAATTAATGTAGAACAAAGTTCGATTTTTATTTCTGACAGACGGTAGGTTGGTTGGTATATTGTTCAATATTTGACACCTTATTTGATGCTTTTTAAATTTAGCAACTATTACTAGTTAATTTTATTTTATTTATTTTTATAATATTACAAATATAAGATAATTAAATTGGTTTTATGATTTAATCTTTTTTTTTTATTTTTTTATTTAACGTAATTAAAGTATATTAATTAATTTCTTCGATTATATTTTGTATATGTATATCCCTCATGCACTAAATTTATAAAACCTTGTCCCATTCGAAGTGTGATAACATTCTTCATATATATAAATATGCAGTCTTTATGATTAAACAAAAACACAAATCAAAGAGCAAATTCAATCTCCAAAACACAACAATGTGGGAGAAAAAGTTGATGGAACGGGTGGCACAGGTTTTGTCCTATAAATCAGGACGGTTAAGGCCATGTTGTCAATATTCGGCAATGCCACTCATGATTGCTGTCTCGATAATTGGCCACCCGAAGACCCACCAGAAAACAAGAACGACAACAACCCCCGACCACTAATACTACCACCTGCACAATTACTCCACGATAATCATAGTACACGGGTTGTATCAACTATCAACAATCTCCGTACAGCAAACCCTACTCTTAATATCTTCCGCCGTCAGAAAAAACCATTGGAGAAGGCCCCACCGGAAACTTCCAGAACCAACGTAAGTGTAATTGTTGTTCAAAAGTTCTTCAACATAAGAAAAATTAAAGTACTAATTCTTCTTTTTTTTTGGTTTTTTTTACAGGAAAAATCCACACCAAAGAAGAAGGCCAAGTATAATAAGACGAAAAAATCATCAAGAAACCTTCCACCTCCGGAGGCGGAGGCTCAGCTTCCGGAGGCGTTCAAGAATCGAATTATTGAAATCGATGGGTCGTTGGATGAACTGATGTTGGTTATGAAGAAAAAACTTTACAATACCGATGTGAAAGGAGATCAGCGAACATGAACTTTCTGACATCGAACGAAAGATACAACCTTGAGCAACCGAAAGCGGAAATCTCGGCGACTCTGATCGAACCGTGTCTACGTGAATGTACGATAAGTTTGAGAGACTGGAAAACGAACTCTATGATGGTGTTGGTAAATCCATGGAATGAAGTTTGCATGAGGAATGAGCTGAAACAAGGGAGTGTTATTCATCTTTGGTCGTTCAGACGAAACTCTCGATTGTGTTTCGTGCTTGTTCTTGTTGATTGATATCGATCGATCAGGCTGTAGAATATATATATATAAAGAATCTCTTTGATTGCTTTTCTTGTTAATTATAATATTCGGTATTGTTCTATTTATCGACAAATTATTATGATCGGATTGTTTTTATTTTCCGATTAAACTTTTGTGAGCCGGTAACTATATATATTATGCAGTTAGTTTAAGATGTTCTAAAGATTATCATAAACTGGTTTTTTTTATTTAGGTAATTGCAGGAGATTTAGTTTTTTTTGTGTCTGTGAATGTTGTTTATTGTGTAGACGACATTCGATCTTGACATGGATTATATAGATATATTACATGTATAATTTTAATGGGATGTGCAATAGTTTTCAAGGGCGGCTCAAGCTCATATGAGGCACTAGGCAAATAATTTTTTTGGGGCCCTTATATTAATTTTTTAATTTAAAATTAAATATTTTTTTGGTATTTTATTATTATTTGCACTGGAAATATTAAGATGGTATCGATAATTGACAAAAAATCGACACGTATTTGTCGAAAATTGTCGACAGGGTTAAAAAAAGAAAACTTTAATCGACTTCCAAGATCAAAAAGGACATGGATACATACTTTAATGGCTTCTCCTTCTATGTAAACTACCATTTTGTTGTCTTGTGACTCCATTTTATAAGTTTATTGAGATTTTGATTTTGAGATTTTTTGGAGGGTTTGTAAGAAGATGAAGAAGAAGAGAGTGTTTAATGGGCCTGAGTTTGGGTTTGGTGGAGAAGAAGAGAGTTTTTTTCTTTCTTTTTTTTTTTTTTTTTTGTTGTATTGAAATGGGAAAAAAAAAATTATTTGTACAAATTGTATTTGTTTGATGAGGGGCATTTTAGTACTTTGCTAATAATTGTTTTTGTGGCTATTTCCCCTCATTGTATTTTGACTTTAAGATAAATCCATTTTTTATAATTGATATTTGTTATAAACTCAATTGACTCGAATTATCCAAAATACCCCTATTTAATATTATACAAAGTTACCATATTATATTATTATAGAAAATTAATTTTTTTTGTAAATATGTAAGTCCGCTAATTTCTCCCCACCTAAAGCCATTTCTGTTTCTATTTTTCCTTTTCTTGTTTATTTTTTAATGATTTTCTTTATTTCAATTTAAAACAAAAATTGGTTATCCTTTTATTTTTTTATTTTGTTCACCTTTTATTTTCAGTTTTTTATATTTAATTATTTTTTTCTTAATTATATTATTCATGTTTTTCATTTTGAATATTAAAAAAATGGATTTGTTTTGTCCTCAATGCTCTTATATGGGGGCAGAAATCTTTGGGGGCGGTTCCATTCGGAACTATGTTTGTGTAGGTATTTCTATGGTTCGGAATTTCGGTGCCACTTGTCTTTTTGGGGAGTTACGTAGGGTTTAAAAAACCCGCGATCGAAAATCCAGTTAAGACGAATAAAATACCTAGACAAATACCCGAGCAGACGAGGTACATGAACCCTATATTTTCAATCTTGATCGGTGGAATTGTACCCTCTGGAGCTGTCTTTATCGAGCTGTTTTTCATTCTTACTTCGATTTGGTTGAATCTGTTTTACTACATATTGGGGTTCTGTTCATAGTGTTTGTTATTCTGCTGGTGACGTGTGCCGAGATCACTATCGTATTGTGCTATTTCCAACTCTGCAGTGAGGATTATCTTTGGTGGTGGAGATCTTATCTCACTTCTGGTTCTTCAGCGGTGTATCTATTTATGTACGCGACTTTTTACTTCTTTACGAAGCTGGATATTACAAAGCTTGTTTCGAGTGCGTTGTACTTTGGGTATATGCTGATTGCTTCGTATGCGTTCTCTGTGCTGACGGGTACGATTGGGTTCTACGCATGCTTCATTTTCACAAGGCTGATTTATTCTTCGGTGAAGATCGATTGAGGTATATTTTTATTTTATTTTTCGGTGAAGAGAATTGTTATTATTCATTATTCATATGGAAGTACGCGACGAGATGTATGATTTTTAATTAGAAACGGCCGTAACTAGGCAATTAATTGTAATGTGGTCGTGTTTTTATTTTTCTTTTTTCATTTATTATTATTGTTATTTCGTGTTGTCGAGGTTTTCTTGATTTTGTAGCAAGAATGTCGCAGAGCTTTTGTAAATTGCTCGAAAGTGTATTAGACGAAATCTTTAGAATACGAGTTGGACTTGAGACATGTTATTGTTCAATATTTGAGACCTTATATGCTGCTTTTTAAATTTAGCAACTGTAACTAGTTAATTTTATTTTATTTATTTTTATAATATTACAAATATAAGATAATTAAATTGGTTTTATGATTTAATCTCTTTTTTTATTTTTTTATTTAACGTAATTGAATTATATTAATTAATTTCTTTGATTATATTTTGTATATGTATGTACTTCATGCACTAAATTTATAAAACCTTGTCCCATTCCAAGTGTGATACCATTTTTCATATATATAATTATGCAGTCTTTATGATTAAACAAAAACACAAATCAAAGAGCAAATTCAATCTCCAAAACACAACAATGTGGGAGAAAAAGTTGATGGAACGGGTGGCTCAGGTTTTGTCCTATAAATCAGGATGGTTAAGGCCGTGTTGTCAATATTACAGCAATGCCACTCCTGATTGTTGTCTCGATAATTGGCCCACCGAAGACCCACCGGAAAACAAGAACGACAACAACCCCAGACCACTAATACTACCACCTGCACAATTACTCCACGATAATCATAGTACATGGGTTGTATCAACTTTCAACAATCTCCGTACAGCAAACCCTACTATTAATACCTTCCGCCGTCAGAAAAAACCATTGGAGAAGGCCCCACCGGAAACTTCCACAACCAACGTAAGTATAATAGTTGTTCAAAAGTTCTTCAACATAAGAAAAATTAAAGTACTAATTCTTCTCGTTTTTTTTGGTTTTTTTACAGGAAGAATCCACACCAAAGAAGAAGGCCAAGTATAATAAGACGAAAAAATCATCAAGAAACCTTCCACCTCCGGAGGCGGAGGCTCAGCTTCCGGAGGCGTTCAAGAATCGGATTCTTGAAATCGATGGGTCGTTGGATGAACTGATGTTGGTTATGAAGAAAAAACTTTACGATACCGATGTGAAAGGAGATCAGGGCAGATTGTCTCTGCCCTACGAATAAGCGAACATGAACTTTCTGACATCGAACGAAAGATACAACCTTGATCAACCGAAAGCGGAAATCCCGGCGACTCTGATCGAACCGTGTCTACGTGAATGTACGATAAGTTTGAGAGACTGGAAAACGAACTCTATGATGGTGTTGGTAAATCCATGGAATGAAGTTTGCATGAGGAATGAGCTGAAACAAGGGAGTGTTATTCATCTGTGGTCGTTCAGACGAAACTCTCGATTGTGTTTCGTGCTTATTCTAGTTGATTGATATCGATCGATCGGGCTGTAGAATATATATATATAAAAAGAATCTGTTTGATTGCTTTTCTTGTTAATTAAAATATTCGGTGTTGTTCTATTTATTGACAAATTATTATGATCGGGATTGTTTTTATTTTCCGATTAAACTTTTGTGAGCCGGTAACTATATATATTATGCAGTTAGTTTAAGTTGTTCTAAAGATTATCATAAACTGGTTTTTTTATTTAGGTAATTGCAGGATATTCAGTTTTTTTGTGTCTGTGAATGTTGTTTGTTGTGTAGACCACATTCGATCTTGATATGGATTATATATGTATTACATGTTTAATTTTAATGGGATGGGGCACTAGGCAAATAATTTTTTTGGGGGCCCTTATATTAATTTTTTAATTTAAAATTAAATATTCTTTCGGTATTTTCTTATTATTTGAACATGAAATATTAAGATGGTGTCGAAAATTGACAAAAAATCGACACGTATGTGTCGAAAGTTGTCGACGGGGTTAAAAAAAGAAAACTTTAATTGACTTCCAAGTTCAAAAATGACATGGATATATACTTTAACGGCTTCTCATTCTATGTAAACTACCATTTTGTTGTCTTGTGACTCCATTTTATAAGTTTATTGAGATTTTGATTTTGAGATTTTTTGGAGGGTTTGTAAGAAGACGAAGAAGAAGAGAGGGTTTCATGGGCTTGAGTTTGGGTTTGGTGGAGAAGAAGAGAGTTTTTTTCTTTCTTTCTTTCCTTTTTTTTTTTTGGTATTGAAATGAGGAAAAAAAATTGTTTGTGCAAATTGTATTTGTTTGATGAGGGGCATTTTAGAGCTTTGCTAATAATTGTTTTTAGTGGCTATTTCCCCTCATTGAATTTTGACTTTAAGATAAATCCATTTTTTTATAATTGATATTTGTTATAAACCTAATTGACTCGAATTATCCAAAATATCCCTATTTAATATTATACAAAGTTACCATATTATATTATTATAGAAAATTAAATTTTTTTTTGTAAATATGTCAATCCCCTAATTTCTCCTCACCTGAAGCCATTTCAGTTTCTCTTTTTCCTTTTCTTTTTCATTTGTTAATGATTTTCTTTATTTCAATTTAAAACAAAAATTGGTTATTCTTTTATTTTTTTTATTTTGTTCACCTTTTATTTTCCGTTTTTTATTTTTAATTATTTTTTTCTTAATTATATTTTTCATGTTTTTCATTTTGAATATTAAAAAAATGGATTTATTAAAAAAATGTGTATATATATATATATATATATATATATATATATATATATATATATATATATATATATATATATATATATATATATATATATATATATATATATATATATATATATATATATATATATATATATATATATATATATATATATATATATATATATATATATATATATATATATATATATATATATATATATATATATATATATGTATATATATATATATAAAAGAATACAAACCAAAAATCTCACCAAAATAGTGATCGGCTTTGATTATGCTCCAGTCGCTCTTCTCTTGCGCCGCCGCGCAACAAACCCTAGTCGCGACTGAGGTTATATCACGCGATTTGAAACTCATATCTTGAAACCGCTCCACCGATTTGAAGTTACCAATGAGATGAAACCAATAATGCGATTAACGAGCTCGACATCAATTAGTTTCTCGAGTGTTTTTGCTGAATGAGACAGAGATTAAAATTTGCAGCGATAGTGTTAACGCTGGAGAAATCGAGCCGAGAAAAAGGAATAGAAAAAACAGAGGAGAAAGATGGCGGTGGAGAGAAAGAATGGAGTGACGACGCCAAGCAGTGGCAAAAAGAGGGGCCGCGACAATGGTAGATAGAGAAGAGAAAGGGTCGTCTATGGTTGAAAGGAGGAGATGGTCGGCTACATTTGAAAGAAGAGAAAAAGAAAAGAAAAAAAATAATAATGTGGGATATAGGTTAGCGTGGAGGGTATAATAGTGAAACTATGTTAATTATTGTTAGTTAAAAATATTTTGGATGTATCATAAAAATAGAAAAAAAAATTGGACTCATATTAACTGTTGCAGCACATGAGGGGGGTTTGTCAAATAATCCCTTTTTTTTGTGATATTTATCTAAGAAAAAAAATTAAAAAAACTTGTTTAAAAGATGGTATTGAACTTGGTGGTATAGAAGTGAGAAAAATTGGTATTATTTTTAGCTCCCGTGTGTTAATCCTAAATGCAAAAACTCCCCTTGGATAAAAACAAGTTACCAATGCCCCGGTAATCAATAGTCAAAGACATACAACCCCCTCTCCTTTGTGCGTGTCATTGACTCGATGTGTGTGCAACTACTTGTGCGATTTTTGTACATTTTTTTGTGTGAAATGACAAAATTGTTTGAATTTAAACAAACAAAATGATGTTTCAACACTCGTGAAACAATTAAACAAAATGATGTTTCAACACTCGTGAAACAATTAAACTACCTGAAGTTTTTTTAATAATGTTTGAATTTAAACAAACAAAATGAAAAAATATAAATTATATTTAAATAAATTCAAAAAAAAAAGTGAAAATGTTAGACAAAGCCACACATGCATCATCTTCTTCTCGTATCGCCCCACCCCCACCCACTTCTCCTCTCGACAAGGTCGCCGGTTTGCCGAAAACATCCAAATACTTAGCATAAGAACCACGGCAATGGGTAAACTGGAATGGCATAACTCGAGGTATACTCCTGTTTCGGGGAAACCGAATAAATGGGTGGCGCCGAGAAAATGGGTGGAGAAATCTGGAATTGAGTGATTAGACAAAACAAGTCTTCCCCGAAACAATCACTCAATCCCATCACTAGATTAGACATGTTTTGTCTAATCTAGTGCCCATGAGTTTAAACAAGTCTGTCCAAATTTGACTTGTACAAATCTAGTCCCTGTCTGATAATATGCTAATTGGATGGCCATGTCGCTTATAAATGTTGTGTAAGAAAAACTTAGAAAGACTTTGCACAGTAGGGATGAGACAAAGGTATAAAGTGCCCAAACTTGGTGAATCTGTCAACCACTACTAGAATGGCATTCTTACCCTCAAATTTGGAAACTCCCTCTACAAAATCCATTGTAATATGAGTCTAAGCCCCTTGAGGTATCTCCAATAGTTGTAATGAACCTGGATATGAGCAATTCACATAGAGGTGAGTTCGGGACGGGATTTCGGGAATTCAGGATTTTCGGGATTCGGGATAGAAATTTCAAATCCCAATCCCGTCCAATACTATTAAATCCTGGTATATCGGTATCCCTAAATATTTTGGGAATTCGGGATTGAGATCGGAAAATCCCATATTTTGCCTCAAAAGTATGAAATATTGCATTTTTTTTATTAGTATTATTGTATACACTAAAGCAACTTGAATATATTATGTTGATACTATTGTTCTTTCACTATTTATTTTTACCACAAAACTTTGAACAAATAAAATTTAAAAAATTAAA